CAGGCTGGCTAACACGGCGGCGGAATGCGCGCCGCTGAGTTGCGCACGCGTGCGAAGAGCAACATCGTTTTCCTGTAACGTCGACCGTCGGGAGAGCAAGCCCGAAGGGGTCAGCGGAAGCGTCGTGCGCGACGACCCGCTCCGCTCGTTGTAAACGGCAGCGGCTTGACGTGCGAGCGAGCGAGCGAGCAACGCGAGCGATTGATAGCGCCTCGAGCGTATAAGGAGATGCGATCTATTTAAGTTCTCAAGGCAACCACGAGACCAAACTCCGTTTTTACCTTTAATCGGCGATTGACTCAACCGACAAAATTGATAAAATTTTTTTGCGTGATTTGTCGTTCTCGAGTCAATTTCTATCGGTACAGATTAACTTTAATCTCGATTTAACTTTTTATGTTTATTTCTACCAACGTGGATTAATTTTAATCTCGGTTTAACTTACTTTTTATCTTCTTCTGATTTTCAGAACTAAATAAGAAAAGAAAAAGTACTAAGTTAAACCGAGATTAAAGTTAATCTACGTTGGTAGAAATAAACATTAAAGCTAAAAAAAAAATAGAAGGTAAATTAAACTGAGATTAATCTGCATCGAAAAGAACGGACGTCTTTCTTTCCGCGCGTCGAACAATGGGAAATTAATGGGACTATCCATTTTATAACAAGATAGGTATCGATGATAAATTAATCGTCGGTTAAATTAATCGGAGTTTAACTGAAGTTACGCTCTCAGCTGCGAAGCGGCTATTTCGTATAATCGATTATCAAAATGCAAGATCGCGCTGTAATCCAGAGATTTTATGAAGATGTTTTCTTTCTTTAGCGAAAACGTTCATAATTTTCCGCTCATTGAAGACGTTAAAATCTTTTTTTTTTCTTTATCACTACCGGATCGAAGGAGGGATCGTTTTGTTTCTCCTTAACTGCACATCGGTGTGATACTTAAATCTATACATGTATCGCGTAGCGCGGAAACAAAGGAGTTTCCACGCGTGATCGTAAATAATTCATAGTAACGCTCGACACGATGAGGTCATTGTTTCCAGCAGATAAACGCGTAATAGGCGCTCCTTCGCGCTGTCGTTCGCCGCGCCTAAAGAAATTCGCATTGCAGAAACGCCCATCTGCTTGCAGCACCTCGCTAGAATACCGACGCGTATACGCTTCCAAAAGAGCTCGGCTCTTCGATGATCACGAAGCTCGCCCGAGAACGTCAATTAATAGCCCAATCCGTCATCTCGATCTCTCTTATTATTATCAAAATGCATTTCGCTCCAAGTTATTTGAATAGAAACCGCAGATCAGGGGAAAACCTAATTTAATCTACGATGATACGGAGAAATTGATTTTCCTCCGAGGAGACTCTTTGGCGCGGAGGAAGGGGTACGGGAAGTCGTGGCCATATTGTCGGGGGATGTCAATTCCTAGACTGATTTAAAAATACGTTCGATTTCTATTTTGGAGACGCGCACGAGGGGATGCATCCACCGGGGAGGGCGGGGGGGGGGGGGGGGGGGGGCGAACAATAATCGCTCGGAAATAATTTTGGTTCGAATCGATGTGTCGAGGGGGTCGAGGTACGCCAAGTAGGTCGCCGCGGATCCTCATTGCTGCCAACAACGAGACGCCCGCGCCGCCTCCGCCGCTGTCGCTGCCACTGCACTTCGAGGTGCAGCAGCGCGCCGCTGCGCTTCGCCGCGGGTCGCCACGAGAACTCGTTAATTCCGTGCGCGCGACAACGTTCACCGAGTATTCCGAGAGAGCGGAATACTCGAAGCTAACTTGAGCGGGGGTTACACGCGCGAGGATCGATGATTCCTCGTACCTTGAAAGATTAAACACTAAAGACACAATCGAGACTTTCAAAGCGCGATATTCATTCGCGGCTGAAGGCGCAGCGACTCGCACCTTTAAATATCGATGTGCTGCTGCTTAATAGCTTTAATGTTCAGTTTTTAAGCGCTTATTATTTTAATTACCGCTTCTGTTAAATTACGCTGGATTGCTGCTAAATTACGCTGTTACGTGGCATCGTAATTTAATGCGACGTTTAAACCAGTCAGCTCTTAAGAAATACTATAAAGCTGACATTTTCGTAGATCCAGACGGTATCTTGAAACATGCCTAATTGCTTGTAATTAAATATGTAATCGATACACTTCCGATTGCTTCCGATTCTCAATTTATCTACTTACTACTTATCGATGTCTCCTGCTATATTTTAGGGTAATTAAAATTCTACGAAGATACGGGTGCAACAGACTTAATGAAATAAAATATAATTGTTTTTACGTAATATAGAAATGGTAGTATAATTTTTATTCGCGCAGTGCTGGTCTCACAAGAAACACTCGTAGCTTTATATCGGACATATCGGATTAGGGAATATGTTTTATTTTAAATCCGATACTTTCTCCCGCCGTTGCGGGCGCGCGTTTCGAGGCGTTACGATTGTTGTTCCGCGGAACGGCTCTCTCTCTCGCCGGGCGACGAACGAACAATACGTCCGAAGTCGGTCACGAGAAAGAGAAAAGGTCCGCCGCTCTCGCAAAATCGGCTCTTTAAGGTCCACCCGATGCAATCTCTCACGCGCGTTCGCCCGGCGAGACACGCTGAAAATCGCGGGGGACTTTCTAATTTCCTCCTCCGCCGGCGATATCCTTCGATATCGTCGGCGAATTTACGCGGGCCTGCATTCACTCGCCTCGATCCGCGGCAAACTTCGCGACGCTTGATCCTATCGGCGCGGCATCGCGGGGACCTATCGATCGTTGTTGATAATAGCCGCGTTCACGTTTCAATTTTTTTAACCTATAACGACGATCGGCGGCGGGATCAACCGTTTTCCTCCTCGTGACTCGGACATCGAGAGACTCGTCATCGAATTCAAATGTAGCGTACGGAGAAATGTTTTGCTTGCATTAATATTTAACGTATGCGGGACAACTGGAGACCCGCGCGTATCGGCGGCAATCTCCGCGACCGAAATTTCCATCCCAGGAGAAAAAGGCGATCCGCCGTAGAAGTGACGAAGGATTGGCCGGCAGGCTCTCTCCGCCGTGGCTCCGGAATTACTCCACGTGTCGCGGATATATAACCGACAAGTATATATAAATGTCGCTAATGGGCGAGATTAACGCCGCGCGGTCGGGCATTATATATTTAGTCAAACGCGCGACCGACCGCGCGATCTCCTTCTCCTCCCCACGCCGTCGTCGCAGAATCGCGACGAGATGTCCGCGCGCGGTTTCGCGGCCATCTGGAATAATACCGCGGTGATTCATTTTCGCGGGTGTCCGTTTAAAATTAAACGCGCTTCGCGATATGCGCAACCTCGGTTAACCGACGCTCTCGCTTGGCCGGTCTCTTCGATTCCAGCCGAGGAATTATTGTCGAAGTACCGGGTAACTTCGGCATCGTTTGACAAGCCGACTTCGTCGTACAGCCAGATGAGAGAGAATCGTCAATGGGCGAACGCCTTGAATACGAAATGAATTTTCCCGACCCGGTCCCATTCACGATTTCTCGTTCGGCCTCGGCTGATTCAATATTTGACGCTACCCGCCCCGTGCGACGGAGACGAGATCGCTCCCGATCCTGCGACGAGTCGTCGCGTCGCAAACGGCGGACGCGCGCTACGCGATTTCGCGAATCGTGCCGAACCCGAGCGGATGCGTATGGTAATTAATCGCGTAACGCACCGCTGAATCCGTCGTAACCCGTTATCTCCGGCGATAGCGCGCACAATGTCATTCGTCTTCCTCCCTTTGCGTACGAGGCCGCGAACGCAACGCCGACCGCTAGGACCCAATAACGCAGTAACGCAGGAAATTCCGACGCGCAATCATTTCAAATGCGTTTTGCGGCGGAACACCGAAGTTGACGATAACTGTACTGTACTGCAATCTGGTTTTCAGGATTGAACGCTCGTCCCAATGAAACGCACCGATTCAACCCGCGAGAGAGAAAGAAAGAGGGAGGGAGAGAAACCTTAACTTTTTGCTATCCTATGCCGAACTGAATTCATTTGCTACGGTAGCTTATCGCTGGTTCTCTAAGCGAATATAATCGACAAACTGACTGTATATTTTTGAAATTCCTGTGAACTTCGCCAAATAATAATTCCTCGATTTATGTTAGATCCGCTGATCAAACGAAATGGAGGACGTATAATACTCTGTTCGCGAGAAGCAATTTGGACCGCGAAGATTTAAGATTCGTCGTCCTCGACGCTAGCTTCGGTTGCCCTAAAGATTCTCACGCTCCTTTATCGAGTTAAGTGAAGCAGCCTTGTATTTCTATCGTGCGCGTGCCAATGTGGACGGGAACGTTAGAGACGCGAGACGCGCGCGGTAAGTGATCAATGACCGAACACAGGCAGTCGGAGGCCCCTCGAACGTCGCGTACTTGGCGAGAAAGTTGTTCGGAATCTGCGCTCCGCAGAAATCTCTCGCGAGCGCACTTCCGTCTTTCGCGGTTGCTCCCGGGCCTCTCCGCGCGTCGACCGTAATAGGAGGGACACCACCGACTTCGAGACAACTCCCACATTGCCGTCGAATGTTCTCGAAGCCGGCGATCCGTCGTCGGCTTTCCGGCTGGAAAATTTCCGGAATGACATTGACGTCCCGATTATCATGATCACGTTTTAGATCTCGTTAAAGCTAAAGAATTCTCAGCTACGAATTTTAGTCCAATTACGTATGAATCATTCGATCATCAAGTTGTTTTTTTTACGAGTTTTTTTTTACGATTAATAAAGAAACGTTCTGCATGCATGTTCTTTGATCGAAAGATTTTTAGAAATACAGGCTGTTTTTTTTTCACTTAAATGGATTACATACATCTGTATTGCAATATAGTACAACAGAGCTTAATTCCTTCGATATTAGTTTTACAATGACGCCAGCGAAATCTAGAAAAGTATAATCACGCTATTGTTTAACAAAACATCTGAAATGCCATCTTCGCAATTCTAATTGATGATTTTTTTTCTCTTGCAGCCTATGGTCCACGGTCCTCAAATAGCCGAATCGAGAACTAGACTTGGTGAAGCCAAAACCGGGCGAGGACGATAGCCAGCAGTCCTTGGACCGGTCGCACAACTCGCTCGCGAGTTTCCACTTGGCGTGCTCCCGTAAGACTACCAAAACGTCGACCCCATCGGTAATCAAGTTATCGGGGGGTGGAACAGCTGGCAGTGGGGAGCAACTGTCCCCAGGGCCTGGCCCACCTCCCCCGGTATCTCCGTTGATCGGCGGTGACGGTCGCGTCAACGAGGAGAACGCAAGAGCCACAGAAAATAACGATGAAGCGGGGCAAACGGCCGTCTCGGCGGCAAGCGGAACGACGAAGTCCGCGTCTGCGGAAGTGGAGAAGGAGTACGGCCAAGCTAACGAAACCACCATGAGTTTCGTTCTGAAACTAGACGTCGAGACCGCGGCGGCGTCGGTGGTGGAGAATGCAACGAAGGACGGCGCCGGGAGTGAAGGACAACCGCCACCGACGTTGCTGATCGCCCGGGAGATATGGCGGTCTCAGGAGCCCGTTGCGGTTGCCACTGGCACTATCACCACCACGCCAGGGAACGCAATGGTAATCGCGAGCGGCGACGACGCTGCCGCCGCGGCCACTAATGGTGGCAAGTCGCAGCTGTTGCAGTGTCTGGAGGCGACGAGCAATCAGGAGCAACAGACGGCGACGGCCACCACTGCGTCCACTCTCACGACGGTCAAGCCTGTGGTGACCTATCCAGTCGCCAAAGGCGCCAGGGAGCAGGTGCAGAGAATGATCGCCGGTTCACAGACCAACACCACGGAGGTGTTGACAACGCGCGTCATCTCGCAGAAGCTGCCGCCATCGTCCATTGATCAGGCGCAGCCTGTCCCGATGACTCTCAACATTTCCTCTCAAACATCGACTAACTCGACGTCCTCACCATCCCCCAATAGTGTCGACGTTTCCTGCCCTTGGCAGGCAATCACGGTACAGAGTACTCAGCCGATGTATCAATCGAAGAATCAGATTGCGATCGCTGACCTTATCCATTGTAGTAAGCAGCAACAAGTGACGACGGCGAGCAATGTACAAGCTACGTTGCATCACAAGCTTCAGCCAATATACCCCATAGGCACTTCTACTACGGCGGTAAAATGTCCAGTGGATTTACCAAGGTATCACACGAAGTCAGGCAGCATCATATCAACTAGTCAATCTGCGCAAAAGATCAAGACCGTGACAAATGTAATCACTAGTTCATCTGCTATAGTCGCACAACGTAATAATTCTCTGTCCAAGTCACAGGGCGTGTCGAAGACACGGGTGTTACCTGGTCAATTTATAAACAATCAAGCGACTGCGAATAACGCGAACCCGCAAAAGATTCAGCTGGGTAACTCGACGATACAGAAGACAACGCAACCGGTCGGTGTAACGAATGTGCAAAAAACAACGCTTCAATCCGTCTGCAACAATCAGAAAGTTCCAGTGTTGAGCGGCAACCATCTTCCAAACCTCAAGACGCAACAGCAAGGTTTACAGAAGTTACAGGTGCCTCAGAAGATATCTCTAGCTGTGGGCAGACAGCAGTTCCAGTCGAGCACGCAACAGGTGAACAATGTCTCGAAACCTAATAGCCTCGTAACCGGTATACAAAAATATCAATCACCCGGACAACATTATATGGCATGCCAACAAGCGGCAATATCTCAAACGAGATCTCAATCGACGGCAACCGGGCTGCAAAAGCCTCAGACATTGACGACGGTACAAACCACCAAACTGCAAACCGCGACGAGTAATATCTGCAAGAGCAATAGTGTGCCGAATGTTTCCAAACCATCGCAAAACTCAAACGTGCTCGCGATTGGCAAACAGCAATCACAAATGCAACCTACGTCGGCACAATTGTTACAGGGTTCGCAACAACAAGTAATCCAAAAGTCGCAACAGCAGCAATCGGCAAACGCGAATAATGTACAGGTTCAAAGAAGTCACAGTATTACTAATGTGCATTCGAAGGTGATAACGTCTGTCCCGAACAATCAAAGAACTCCGGTTGTGATGAACTCGAAGGCTCAACAGCAGCAGCAGCAGCAGCAACAAACAGTGATGAGGGTGGGAATATCGAAGGGTCAGACGCAAGCTGCACAAACTGTAGCAGGTCTGAAGACTATCTCGCAAAAAACCATAATGAACCCCGTCAAGACTACCGCAAATTCACAAAACAATACCATTCAACAGCCTATAGTGCAGAGAAATAACAATCCTCCTCAATCTATGAAAATCATTCAACAACAACAGCAGCAGCAGCAAAATGTAATTGGACCGCAGAACGCTCCGCAAAAACAGCCTGGATGCATCAAGACTATTCCTCCGCAGAAACCTGTACAAAGGAATCATGCTCAGAAAATCAGCAGCGCTGGTGTTAAACCCTTGTTGAGTCCAAACGTAACGGGATTTACGAAAGCTCAAGGCCCGACCGCGACGCAAGTAGCGCCAAAGACGAGTATCAAGACCCTGCTGCCGCAGCAGACGGTGGTCGCACCGTCCAATGTGATAGCTCCGCACAAAAACTCGCCGATTAAAATCCAACAGCAAGCGCTACAGCAGAAGCAATTGATCATGACGCCGCAATACACCCAACAGATCCGACAACAGGCCGGACAAATAAAAACCCTGCTCCCGATAACCACGGCTACAATCGAACCTCGTAAAGACCTCATTGAGAACAAGTAAGCTTAGCTATTTGTAACTGTATTTATATTATTGTGTGTTATTAGTATTTATATTTATATTATTATATAGTTTTTTTCCTTTTTTTAAACTAACATCCTTTATTTTGCTTTAAAGTTGACCGTTTGATTTTCACTTTAAGCATAAACTTTGTGATGAAATTATTTACTTAACTATCTTTGTTCTTTTGAGTAATCTGATCATGATCGTCATAATAAAATAAAATAATGTTACTTAGAAACGATAATGAATCACGGATGCCCAAAGAAGAGGAGCAAACTACTTCGAAATCGCCAGTGAGAAGAATGCCGCTTCCTTATGAGGTACAAATTTGTACTATAAAGCATACTCAATGCTTGGCTTACAAAATTTTGTATTTTTTTTATGTGTATCTCGAGATTATGGATAGGTCGTATTTAAAAGCGCATTCTTGTTTAACTGCAGTGTCTTCAGTTCGTTCTTCAAGACCACAATTATGGAGCACCACCGCCACGAACACCACCACCGCCTCCATCGCCACCCCCTCACCCGAAGCAACAACCTATTAATGGAGCCGGCAGTTCCACAGCTACTTCCCAACATCCTTATATCTTTAGTCCTGGTAATGTCTTTTTTGTGTTTTGATATTACTATTACGATACAATTATGTCAATTATTGATGTATTAACTTTTTTCAAGAATCTATATTCTTGAAACTTCTCACAAACAAAGAAATCATCACATATTTTCTAATACAGAATCTAAAAAGTTAGTGATAACAAATATTATTATCTAATTGAAGTTGTGAGCAATACCAATGTGGAGGATGATGCTGCCAGCGCGATCAGCAGTGAAGCAGGACGAGAAGCGGAACCGGAAGGTGAAGAAACCGAAACAGCACCCGAGGGTGAAGGTGACGATGAGGACAGTGTTACCAGATGTATCTGGTAAGTGAATAAGATAATTATTTTACAGATAGATATACATATAATGCTACAATGGCAATGCTATAATGTATAATGTTTGATATATTATTTTTAGTGACTTTGAACACGACGATGGATATATGATATGTTGTGACCGATGCTTGTAAGTGTTCACCAATATTTTTACATTACTAATGTAGAATATAGATAAATATACAGAATATAGATAAGAGTATAGATAAATATATAAAATCTAGATTAAGCAATTTTTATATATTTTTAGTGTGTATACATTATATAAGTATCTAAAATTACATATTACATTTGAATGAAACTTATCGATTATGCGAAAACTGATTATGCGACCGCAGAGTATGGCAGCACGTCGATTGCATGGGCATTGACCGTTCGAACATTCCTGACGAATACCACTGCGAGAGATGCCAGCCGCGACGAGTGGACAGACAGCGAGCACGCGCCTTGCAGATGCGTAAACGCGAGGAGCTTCTCAATTCGGACACATCGTCCGACACCTCGTCTACCAGTTCGGCGGACACGGACGTCGGTTCGGTGAACAACACCACGACGCAGAAGAAACGCTCGCTTTCGCAGCAACAATCACAAGTTCCAAGACGCAGCAAATCCGACGCGTCTGCCCAATCGTCGCAGGTGCGAAGATTGAATAATAACAACAATAACAATAACAACAACGTTGGAAAGAGGCAGAGAAGGGACTCCCAACCCCGACAACCGAGCGCCGTTCGCAAGAAGGAGAACACCACCCCGAAACGTGGACCTGGAAAACGTAAGGCTAAAAGGAGAACGAGCCTCGAGGACAAAGAGGAAGATGTGCAAGATGCCTGGGGCACAAACATGGCGCCCCTAAGACAGTGGATCGAAAGATACGAAGAAGCAGTTACGAATCATTATAGTCCCGAATTGCGAGCCAGGATATCGAATATCAAAGTCAACGGTACACATAATGATCTCAGGCAAAGTAACATGAATGTCGTTGCCACCGGTAAATGCAGACTCAATGTGCACAGCAATAATCTTAGAGTAAGTAAAATATTATCTTGAATACGAATGATGAATGAAGAACGTAGATGAAAAAAATATTACGAAAACGAGAAGAATTCTTTATCTTATTTTTAATTATTTTATTTAATTATTTTTCATCGTTTCCAGTATTATTTATTAATGTTTATTATTATCGCGATTTATTATTGAATTTTGAAAAATAAAAATGTTCAAATTTTTATATTCTTTATGGAAATTATACGAAAACGTTTATTGAAAAATCTTTTCTTTCTTGCAGTTTTTAGTGGCGACGATGTACCTTCCGCCAAACACTCCTGTCGTAGAACTACGAGGCAAATATATGCTTAGCACACAACATCGACTGCAGTATACGCAAAGTGGTAGGCAGCACGTTCAACGGCCGGGACCGTTCGTGTTTTTCTACCGTCTGCCACGCGACGGTACCGAAGTGTGCGTAGACACGCGGACGTACGGGAACGACGCGAGATTTGTGCGGCGTAGTTGCAAGCCAAACGCCGAGGTGAAGCACTGCATCGAAAAGGGCACGCTGCATCTCTACATCGTGACGACATGTGCAATCGAGAAGAACGCCGAGATAACGATCAAACACGAGCAGCACGATCTACTGCTGTCACCCAATCCCAATTCCCCCGCGCTGCCCGTCGTGTGCGCGTGTAACAATCCGCGGGAGTGTCAAATTGCAAACGCGGCGAGCCAGTTGAACAGAAGAGGTAGCAACGGCGCTCTCGCTGAAAATGCCGAGTAAGTTCATACAACAATACGAGTAACGATGAAATGTACAAGATATTTTTTAAATATATTTTTATAATGTATTCGTTATTTTTATCTGTTATCAGTGGCAGAGAACGAAGGCGGCGAGGTAGAAGAAACACAGTTTGCGAGGAAACCGATTCCACGCCACCGACAGTTCCTCCTACGAGTGTCACGCAAACCACTACAACCGCAACATCGTCTGTGTCATCGACGGTGACTCCTGCGACGCCGAGAAGAACCGTCACGACCACGGTTACAACTACAACGACCCGCCAAGCAGTTGCCAAGGAGGAAACCACGACGACGACGGTAGCGAATACACAGCCTCAAACGTCGCCTAGTTTGAACCAGTCGGTGGCGACGACGCCGGAAACGAAGAAAGATAAAAAGAAGATGACGCGAGATGAGAGGAAGATGGAGGCGATCATGAAGGCTTTCGAGAGGCTGGAGAAGGCGGAACAGAGGAAACAGGAAGTACAAGCGAGAAATGCCCAACGAAAAGAATCTGGTGGCACGCACAGCGACAATGAGGATAATCGCTCGACGACGGGACAGTCCAAAAATAGTAAACAGACGAACTCGGAGAGGCCGCTGCGACGGAGAAGGAGGAAAGGTCGAGCGAGAACGACAAGCTCCTCTCAGTCGCAGAGTAGCAGTCGAAGAACGAGGTTGAATTCCGCTGAGTCCGACGTATCTTCCGGGGACGAGAGCAATTCCATGCAGTCACCGCCTCTGTTGGGTCAGAATCGCCCGCCCAGCCGGGACGTTCCCTATTCGTCGCACTTGCACACTCCGGCTAAGAACACGACGAGCGATGTTAACACCGGATCATCCGGTGGCCATCAAGGAATTCCAACTGCGGCTGGTTTACTGCTGGCCTTAGCGAACTCGAACGCTCCCGGTCCTCCGAGCTCGCCACCGTTACAGCAACCTACTCCTGTCAAGAGTCCTACTTGCGACAGCGGAGCCAGCAGCAGCTCGCAGAGTTCAACGCCGTCGACACCGTTGTCGTCTGCCTGCTTGCTAGTGGCCGCGGCAGTCGGTCCGCTAGCTCCGGGTTTCAAGTTCCCGAAGACGAAGAAGGTGCTGATGAACGAATGGCTGAAGGAATCGCCCGATCCGCCACAAGCTAATATACCTCAAGTGTCACCTCTGCCGGCTCTACCAAGTGTCGCCTCTGCCGGTCCGCCGACTTTACAAAATTCCATGAATCCGCTGTGCGGCAGGCACTTCCCGCCGGTACCAACAGATGCGTCGGCGGAATTTCTGTCACATAGTTACGCGGCCAAGAGTTTAGCCACCCTTGTGCAAGCCGCCAACTCGGTTAGCGGCATATGCGACTCGCCGCCGCAGCGTAGACAGCAAGCGGTTTCTGGTAACAACAATAACAACAATGGGAATAGTGGCTGTCCCACTGTGTCTAACTCGGGCTCGGCAAAGAAGCGATGGTTGCGCCAGGCGATCTCGGAAGAGTGCGATTCGCCCAATAGCCGGCCCGAAAGCCCGCCGCTTAACGAGACGGTAGCACCGCCCAAGAAGCGTAGAATAGCTCGAGAGAGCTTGTCATCGGACAATTACACCCCGCCGACGACGCCAACCATGCTACTTCCGACCGAAGCAGCGCCTAACAGCAGATCACTATGTCCTGCTGACGTAAGTTTCACAGCGTCTTAGCTAAATATTATAATATTAATTATTTTAACGTTCAATTTGTAATATACGTCAGATATAGAAGTAGACAATGCAATTCGAAAATAATCTCGTTTACTGTTTTCGCAAACTTATTTATTTAT